ATTCATTGTTGTTAGCAAAAAGTTGGTCGTAAATTTCGCTGACCGAAGTGAACTTGAGGCACGTGCAATGGCCGCTCTCTTATGTGCTCTAAGCGTAATTGATTGATTGATGGATGGATGGCTGGCTGGCTCTCAGTCTGTCTGGCTGTCTGACTGGATGAATGAAGTTGGCCAAAAGCAGCTGCTTCCAGTGGCTAGCGAAAGCAATCGGGCAACACATTAAAGCCAAGCATTCTCTGTGCTGCCACAAAACCTCGCACATTTAATCTTTAATTAAGAGCAGAGCAAAGACAATATTACAGCTCGACCTGCTCGCCCGTTCACCTCGCCCCTTTGCCCAGTTGTCAGCGGCTTAAATGATGCGTTAAGATGGCCTTAAACTGGCTTGCGGCTGCTTTAACCGCAACGAACTTCGATGCTTCAATGTCCAAAAATAGCAGCTGAGAATAGAGACAGCGGCTGAGAAATCGTTTCGCGAGCAGTGCAAATAAATTGAATTACGAGCCAAAGGGCCACAAAAGGGGAGGACTTTGAAATAAAGTTGCGCAACGCAAAGCGACGACAAATATGCAAATGGACACTTGACAATCGGCGAAGAAGATGCCTCAACGGGGTATATGGACCCAGTCCCGGGTGCAGCTCCAGTGCTGGCCCCGTGCTGGTCCCGTGCTGGCCCGAAGGCCAAATCCTATTAAAATTCAATTGCCTGTAAATGAACTCGGGCGCTGGGTAACAGAGCCAAACTTCGGGCCAGCAACTGCCTGGGTCCGACGGCTCTTGTTTGTCACTTAATTAAGGTTAATGTGAGCACAAAGAACAAAACACGCCCACCCGCTGGCTGACTGGGAATGACTGACTGACTGAATCGACTGACTGACTGGCAGCAAGGATTAAGTTTAGATTTGTAAACAAGTTTCATGCGTTATTTAACTTTCAATGCAAATATCCTGTCAGCCAGCATTTATTACATTTGACTATGGCATTTAGGCAAAGGCAAGGGGCAAGGAGCAAGGGGCGGGGCGGGGTGGGGCAATGGGAAACGTGCGACAAGTTTATTTCATTATGGCCACAAAAGCAACACACATTTGCTCAGTTCACGCTGAGTGCGTCTCGATTTGGGGCACATGTGGCAATGCCTGGAAAATGCCGGGAAAAGCCGCAAATGGCAGCCAAAATGCCATGAAATCAATTTGAAACTAGGTTTTTCCTTAGCCCAACTTAACGGCCTGTGAAATTATTTAAAAGTTAGCAAATGCCAAAATTTAATTATGGCCACAACTCAAACAAATGTCTCTAACTACGCGCAGCCAACTTTCGACACACACACACACACACACATACGCACAGGCAGCTACATGAATCTGAAAATTCTGAAAGTTGAAAGTTTTCAGCGCTGTGTCGAATGTATGCGCATTTCTAATGCTCATTTGTTGCATGCCACAGACGACTATGCGTGTGTGTCTGTGTGTGTGTGTGTGTGAGGGAGGCGAGAATACGTGTTGTCAAAGTGTTGTCAGAGCACATTAACAATGTAATCATTTTTGTCTGTGTTTAAGACAAATGAAGTGAGAATGTGACAATTGGAATGAAGTACTAAAAGGAGTTCGATGTCTTCCTATTTGGCACGCCCACTGGGGCGGATTATAGCTTAAAGATTTATTTATAAAGGAGATCAGTAACTACCATTTACTACTACTACTGTCTTTAATACTATAGTAGTACTAAATTCCTATTTAGCATCTACTAATACTATTATACTATCTATACATTTATATATCTACTACTACTACTATCTATACTACTATAGTAGTAGTAAACTCCTATTTACCTACTTCTAATACTTCTAATACTATTAAACTATCCATATATACATATATCTACTACTACAACTACTACTAATATTACAATTTACTTCTACTACAATTATCTTACCACCTATCTACTACTATTACTATTATCTTACCATCTGTCTACTACTATTTCTCTTATGTTACCATCTATCTACTACCTATTACTATTATGCTCCAATCGATCTACTACTATTACTAATATACTACTATATATATGCTACACACAAATAAAAATTCGAAAGCCATAGCCATTATACATCTATAATATACCTCTTCAAGCCAAGCCTAAGCGGGTATGCATGACGTAACTCAATTTATGCCAAACTTTTTTCAGCTGCAGATATTATCTACGCATGCAAATGTTCTTATCAATTTTGTCTCGAACTTTTGGGTCGCAAAAACCAAACTCAAATCAAATACAGATAACTCGGCCAGCAAACACATATCCCCAGACACATTTGCTTACAGGATATGACAGGCACAACAAGCTACAGCATTCAGGCCCCCACCCCCACCCCCAGCTAGAGCTGAGTTCCCCAAATGCGCATAAAGGTCGCTTGGCAGGCGCTGGCCCATGTATACTTATTGCTGAATACTTGGCCAAAGTATTTTATTTTATAAGCGCGCTCTCAATGCTTATCAGCGCCAGTTGAAGTTGTGTCAAAGTTTCTGATTTTCCTCGTCCTCTTCTTCTTCTTCTTCTTGTTGAGCAGCTCGCTGATAAGAGGGCAGGGGGCGGGCGGCAATAAACTATGCAACGATTTAAGGCAACTTCCGGCTTATGCCGAAATTGCTGTACAAATTCAATAGAATGTGGCAATAATAAAAACCAAGTAAAAAGTGCAAAATAGAAAATAAAAGTTGAGTAGCGGTAAAAAAAAATAAAATAGAAAAGGAAAAAAAAATGAAAAATCCGGTCTAAAGGCGAAAGGTTATTTGTAATGCTGCTGCTTAAAACTTTTCTCATTAGTCACTATTTTTTAGCGACTGTTTAATTGTTGCAAACGCACCAGAAAAAACCAAAAACTTTCCGAGTAGTTAAAGTTGTTTTCCATTTTCCATTATGCATCATTTTTTCATTCAGTTCTCTCTTTCGCACTTTCGCATATAAAAATAAATTCCTGAGCACAAGTCAAACAAATGCGGCTTTTAGCACTGCAAGATTTGTGTAAACAAATTAAGCCGCGCCCACCAGGTGAAATGGAGGGAGGGAAGGAAGCTGAAGAAAGAGCTGGAACTAATGAGCGGAGCGCGCTGAGCGCTTCACTGTGCAGATCTAATGAGGCCCAAATAAATTTCCACTTGCAGCAGCCAAACAAAAGAAATATTAAAACTCTACTTTCAAGCCGCTTTCAGGCAAATATATTGGCCGTTACGCCCACCAATTTAGGGCGATTCGCAAATAAATACGTACAAAGAATGTGCGCACAGGAGGCAGCTGCAAGGACGAGCTGGAGCTTGGCCAAAGGGAAACGGAAAGGGCAATGTCATTCAGCAATTACACAGAGCGAGACAGAGTGTGGGAGAGAGAGTGAAGGAGAGAGAGATAGACGGAGGCCACAAAGGCACAGAGCAACACAAAGGCATATAGAGGCTCTATAAGCGAAGCACTTGAGTTATGTCTTTAGCCAGCGATTAGAGATGGGAGCGTGTCGTGCTTATGATACGATATAAGCTGAGAGAATTTTTAAATATTTTTAATGAATTCCCAATATAATTATGGAGCAACTGCTCATTGAAATTTTGATGATATTTATATAAAATATAATTAAAAAATTATATATTATAAAAATTCAATAAAAGAATTTACTTTACATCTCTGAAGCTATTAAGCTACCTAAAATCACCAAAATAAATTATTTTCCGAGCAGCATTAATTTTTCGGTTTGCTAAAAGCATAAAATCTTAAAATTATATCTCAGATCATATACATATAGGTATATATATAAATAAATTAACATATGTTACTTCGAAAACAAAGAAAAAATCGGAATATTTATGTGTGTATTATTCCCCTCCAGTAATTGCAACCGAAATTCAATTCTATAGAACTTCCATAACTAACAGCCGTCTGGCTGTGACTGCTGAACGACTAAATCTAGGTAAACCCAGAGTCAAACTCTCTTTCGTGCTCATCTCTAGGCTGAGTTAAGAGCCAGCAGCACGTTCCTGAGCTCCCTCAACCAGAATGGCCAACTCTTGCATAGCTCTCAGCAAGTTTAAGCACTGCAATTTCATCTATTTTGCAAGCGATTCCTTGCCCAAAATGTAGCAAATATTCAGCAGGCAGCCAGCAGCCCATCAGTCAGACCGACAGTGCGCTCGTTCGCTGACTGACAGCGTGAGTTTGTACCTCAGAGTCAGTCAGTCGGTTGTGGGTGGGGGGGAGGTAGGAGGTGGCGGCTTTTAATTAAGTGCGTGCCCTGCGCTCGCTAACAAATATGAACTCCTTTGGCAGCTCCTTTTGCCAAAGCTGCTTTGCCTAAAACATGAATGCACAGATACAAATACAAGCACACACACACACACACACAGGCACACACACACACACACACAGGCACACACACACACACACAGGCACACACACATGCACACACACATGCACATATTAATGGCTGCCCCGTTTACGTCAAGTGCGTGGAATATTTTAATGTATATATATGTGTATATGTGTGTGTATATATCCATATATATAAATCTTGCAGTCTGCTCTGCAATTGCTGCATCAATTTGGCCAAGTGGAATGCTGTCAAATAACAATCTGCACATGTGCAACAAATTAAATTGGAATTGAAATGCCTGCCAGGCAGCAGATTGTCTTGGCGCACGCAGCCAAATTCTAATTGGAATGCCGTCAAGACTTTAATGAGCTTACAACAAATTATAACGGTGCGCCCACACACACACACACACACACACATGCAATACATATATGTATATATGGCTGGCTCAAAATTCAATTAATTGAAAAGTTCCATTCGAAAAACTTGTGAACTTTGCGCTTCGAGCACTTTTCAACTTTTAAGCCGAGCAGAGCTCATAAATCGAGATTAATTCGCCTTTTTACTTCAACAATTACATTTACAATTATAATAATTATCATTTAATTTGTGCAACGCATTTATTTGAATTCACTCGGGAGAAACTGCAAACTGGGTAGACTATTATAATGTTGTTTAGGCTATTACGTTTGTACTTACAAGTTACAACAAATGTGTTTATAAATAATAGATTAAAAATATCATTAATTTACTAACTATTTTTGGGTTCAACTGCTTAGCATATAAATTAGTTAAGAACGTATACAAATTGTTGAAATGTTAATGGGTTCGAGATATGTAAATTCCGTTTCATATATATTCTTCAATAATTTATAAAAAAAATGAGATATTTATTTATTGCTATTGCGCGGCATTTCAATGAGTTTCCGTTATATGTTTCAGCTATTGTTTCAATTCCGTTTTCAATTCCAATTTCTATGGCATAGTTTACAAACAATTCGTACTTGAACATGTATAAAAAATAGAAACCTAAGAATAACTTAAAGTAACATCTATAGCTTTATATATATATTATATATATAGCAAGTAAATGGCTTAGTTAGGTTAGTTGTAAGCCTATGACTATTAAGTTCAGAACGTTCTACAAATGGCAAAAACAGTTTAAAATTAATTTCGTTTACACTTGAATATTTTTTAAAATAAGCGCGCTAATCAATAACTAAATCATAATAAATATTATAGGACACACTGCACACGGCTCGAGGCAACTACTATTAGTTTAAGCCTATATATATCTTTATATATATATACATATGCTGGTTAAGGTTAACACACTGCCCCGACTTAAATATCATACAAAAACACTTAAACGCTATAGCCTTACGTTTTTTATTTGTAGTTAACGTATTCTTAACCTTAAGCTGTTGTAAGTAGATGTTCTGCTTCTAGTTCTTCCTCTTGTAAGTATTGTAAAGTTTCCTTTTTAAGGCACTGACATTATGTACACCTGACTGAAGCGGAGCCAAGGCTCCTAGGTATCTATGAGGAGGGTGGCGGCTTGCCGTGCACACGAAAGCGGTACAGGCACGTATAGTCCGGCTGGCCATGATTCGACTCGATGCGCAGCTCGACGATCTCATAGGGACGCTTGATGTCCATGTTTTGCACGGGAAAGAATTGTAGGGAGGCACCGTTATCCTGATACTCATACTCACCGAACAGCACCGGATCCTGATCCTTCTCGTGCTCCAGTCCCTGCGAAGTATAGCAGTTAGTGAGGGAACACATACATTTATATTGATGACTCACCCAAACGGTAAAGTTGCGTGGCGCCGAATCGATGCGCCCTGTTGGCGACAAGCTCTTGGGTATGTGCTCCAGCGTGAAGCCAGTGACGTGAACCATGGAGTTGAGCTTCAGCACTGCAATTGAATAGATGGTTAACTATGTGCACTCCCTCTATGTGTATGACACGTACCCAGAAATCCGGGAAATCCCTGAAAGGCCCAGCACTCGCCTGGTTGCACGTTGGGCGATATGGCCACCCTGGGCGTATTGGTGGGATACCAGAGCGGAATGCCAAAGACGGAGATCTGCGCCGATTTGGTCTGATAGCTTTCGGTGCAACGCGTGGACAGAATTTGCCCGCCCGCCGACTCCAGGGCAAAGTCGACCAGGCCCGTTTTATCCGCATCGTAGATGGCCAGCACAGATTTGACTATATTGCGCACCTCATCGTCGTGCATGAGCGCCTTCAGCGACTGGGAGCTGGCATTCTGTTTGGCCTCCACGACGAGCAGGATCTCGCGCTTGAGCCGCTCGCTAATGTCGCTCATCAGGACAAGGCTGGAGCGTTCGATCTCGGCGCGTATGTTGTTGTTGGTCTTCTCGTTCAACTCGAGCAGCTGCTGCTCCAGATAGTCCTTGGCCACGAACATGCTACGCACCCAGTTCTGCAGATCCAAATCATCCAGTTTGCCGCCCGCTGTCTGCTTGAAGCCCAATATCTCGACCAACGTCAGCTTCACCTGCTTGTTGAGCAGCGTGAACTGCGACTCATTCAGGGCCGCCAGCTTGGCCTCGATCTCGGCGAGGAGGCCGCTGAAGCGCTGATCCTGCGCCAGCGCGTGCTGCTGCATGCGCGCCAGCAAATCGTCCTGCGTGAGCTTCAGATTGCTGATGGACTGCTGCAGGTCGGCGTTCTCCGTCTGCTTGTCTGAGAGCGCCAGCTTGATGAATGCAATTTCCCTGTTTAGCTGTTCGATTTGCTGATCCGCATTCGACTGGCCCGAGCCCTCCTCCTTGGCTTGCTGCTGCTGCTGCAGTTCCACATTGATGCGTGCGTCGACAAATTCAGCAAGCTCTGCTGAGCCCAGCAGCCGCTCAAGCAGCGCACCCACATCGATGCGCTCCAGCAGCAGCGTATAGTGCTCTTCCTTAAGATTGAACTCCGCCTTGACCAGGCGCGTGATCTCCTCGAGCTGCGCGGACGTCAGCTTTGCCTGTCCCCCCTGCCACTCGCCCGACTGCTGCAGTTCCAGCTTCAAGCGCAGCACCAAGTCGGCCAGCTGCTGCTCACTGAGCTGCGCCCGCTGATCCGCAAACTGCTGCAGATTCTCGCGCATGAGCTTAACTATGATCTGTATCTGTTGCGGCGACAATTGCTGCCGCTGCTGCAGCTGCTCCTTGGCTTGCTGCTGCAGCTTCAGCTCCACCAGCTGCTGCACATAGCTGTTCACATGATTCAGTATGTTCTCATACTCCTCCGGGGTGAGCGACTTCTGCATGCTCTGCTGCGCTTGCTCCACATTGAGCCTAATGGCAGCCGCCTCCTGCTGCTCGCGTGGCAGCCACAGCGTCATCAAAGCAGCGCTAGCCTGCAACAATCCCCCACGCAGCGAGTCAAAGGCAGTCAGAGGCAAAGGCAGCAGCGCCTCAGTGCGTTGCGCCAGCTCCAAGCGCTGCTCCGCCGGCAACAGCTGCCAACCTGCAAGGAGAGGGAGTATAGGCATTAGTCCTGGGCAATGGGCAATGGGCGGAGGCATTTCAACAGATTTATATCCTTCTACATTTGCAACTTTTTACATTTCTTATTCATTCAGCACATGTCAAAAGGAACTGTTCGATGGGGAATTTTCGGGGCGACGCCAATGAGCACAAATGCAGAAGGATAGAGTTTCTGTTCAATGGGAAATTGTTCGAAATTCGTATTATTTTACTTACCATTTCAACTCGCAATTGCAATCGCGTGGCATAGCTCAAGAAAATGGCAAATAAAACAATTTACATTTGTTGCAAAATTTTCTGTTCTTTTTTTTTTTTTTTTTGTACTGTATTTCGTCAATGTTTATGAAATTGTTTGCATTTATTATAATCGTTTTAGGGCTCTTGTTTGATTTTTGATAGACAAATACAATGGCAAACAATGAAAGGTTACAATTGAAACGTTGTTTAACAACAAAGAAAATATAGTTTATTTCGAACGTTGTACGGAATTGCAATTGGCGACAAATCTGAACAGACTCAACGGTAATTGTACAATTTATGATTTTATAAATAATTGCACAAGGCTCAATTGCTGTGGCCAAGAACAAGGTGTACAACAACAAAGAATGATATTTAATGTAAATTTTAATTAATATATATGATTTTGTTTTTTTTTTTTTTGCACAATTTGAACAGCACGGCGAGTTTGTTCGCCCTCTCTCTCTCTCTCTCTATCCTTCTCCATATTGCGTCATATTGTGGGCGGGTGTTGGGGGAAATTGGTATTTAAGGGTGAGGGGGGAGGTATGAAAATGTATGTACGCGTGTGTGTGGGTGTAAATATTTGGTGGGTTTCAGACCGAACACAAACATATATATATCTATATACACATACATATGCATATATGTATACATGTACAGTTTGTCAAAGATCATTATATAAACAAACAAACAAACGAAAAATTTAACATGAAATTAGATGAGAAATGGCTTTTGTCGATTTTTAGGAAATGCTAAGCAAAATGCTTGAATTTGTACTTGAATTGATCTTGATTGAAGACTTGAAAGTTTCTCGATTAACGCGCATAAGAAAAAAACATAAATTTTCGAGCTGCTATCAGAGCAACAGCTGCTGCAGCAGCTCATGGCCAAAACGAAAGCACAATTGCAGTAGATATTCATTAAACACGATCGTAATAGACGTTCGGCTGAAACCACTGACGGCCCTTGCTGACCACATTCTGGCCGATAGTTCTCAGATACACCAAATAATCATCGGCCCAGTCACGCACGCGCACAGCCTGATCGATGGCCTGCGAACGCAGTGTTTCAAATTGGGCCACATTCAGATAGGCGCCAATATCGATCTTCGGAATTTCGGGTAGCTCAAGTATGGAAATTCTTATTTTTCTGGGTGGGAAACTTTCATGGGGATGCAGATAATAGAACACACCTGAAAAGTTACAAAAGTTGCAAAATTAGCCAAGCGGATATAAATTAGAGTATTTCATATTATACAAATGATGAAATGTGTGATGAGTTCTCGACATGAATGGAGAATATTGATACTATTAATTTGATATGGATATCTGAAAGGCTTCCTACTTGTATGCAAAAATTTGTATTAAATCAATAAGTTATAGAACCAATTCTAGCTTTAGAGAGGCTATCAATTTATAGAGATTCGTTTTTAACACATCTCACTTTCCTCAACATAAAAAATTATATACCTCTACATATTTCTTATATATCTCAATTTAAATCATATAAAAATCAACACATATTTCTTAATATATATTGTATATCTCCTACAATAAATCTCTTTCTCTTCCACTCAACTATAAAATCTACACTTAGCAACTAAGCAAATTACTCCAACTATGCCAAGTATTCCATATTTCTAGTCATATCAATCAATCCCGTTCTATTGAGTTTTCTCATACAAATTATGAATACGATTTCCATATCAATATCAACAACCGCAGCGCGCACAAGCAACTTGTTGCTGACGTCATATGGCTGTCAACGGCCAGAGGCGACAAGCTGAAAGGTGAACTATATGTATACAGAGAGATATATGCTCGTAGCATTGGTGGTAGCCGCCATTCAAGGTAAGCCTTTGGCTGACGTTCAATGTCAAGGCGTGTGCACGCGTTGACAGATTTTACATTGAATATATAAATACTTATATATATATATATAGATTATCATAGATTTACACTCACCCACTACCATCAGTACTGGCAACAGTAAGAGCAGAAAGAGCAAGAAACGCTTCTTCCACTTGTTCTCCGGATTGTTGGACCTGAGCAGCCAAGTGTCCAGGCTGAGCACCGAGGCGATGCCGATGTAGATGTAACGCATCAAGCCCAACAGGCTGGAGACGATAAGGCCATGCTTTGGCTGACGATCGCGCTTGGCATAGTAGTTCTGATAGGCGCTCGATTCCGTTTCGGATATGTTCGCAATGCTAGTCCACACGCTGCTGATGCTGCTCACGATGCTGGTGATGACGCGCAGCAGCCACCAGGTCTGCACCTGCTGGTTGGACTGTGTGTTGTCTAGCTCGTCGGCCGAGTCGTAATTCAGATGCGTATAGTTCGCCTGGTAGCGACGGCGTATGAACTCCTCTTGAGCTGGATTACGATCGACCATGTAATTCACGCGCTGATCATGATGCTCCAGGCTGCGACGCGACATGTTCGGCATTGCGACGATTCCCGGTGCCAGCTGGCGGCGATGCGGTGACAGTTCCGAGTACGTATAATCAGTTTTCGGTGTTTTGCTACAATGCAAAATAAAAAAAATAAAATTAGTTTCGATTCACGAGAGACTCAAGGCACAACAAGTAAGAAAGCTCTAGTCGAGACTGCTCGACTACGAGATCCCCTGAAC